ATGGGAGATGTTATATATATATATATATGTATATATATATATATATATATATATATATATATATATATATATATATATATATATATATATATATATATATATATATATATATAATTAGGGCTGCAGCTATCGAATATTTTTGTAATCGAGTACTCTAATAAATGACCCTTTGTGTTTGTAAACCATTATATCACATAGCATGTTATAAAATATGAAAGACCTCTTAAAATGAGCGAGTAATTGCCAGTTATTCTTCAAGTTTTATTCAAATTAGTTTTCAAAACTTCAGCACTTCAACTTTACTTCACAGTAAACAAATGACTGTGCAAAACACAAGCATACAACCTGAGCCGATTTCCCCTCACACGAGAATCTACCAGCACCGGAACCGCTCACGGCACATGCTCAAACATGGCTCGCCAGCTATTTCTCTATTAACACGCATCCGTTTTAATTTCTACACTTTTTTCTCACACAATAACAAGGACTGTCGAGAAAGCATGTTTGCCGTGGTTATGTCAAATTATACTGATCACAAAACATTTATTTACTTTCTTTCGCTTTCCTCCGCCACTCTCAAAAACACCTGTGTCCTGCTGCAGCAATCTCGAGGGACAACAGACGTCAGTAACAACACAATGAAAAGTCTGACGTGTTGCTACCAGACGCAGTGTGAGCTTAAACTGAGTGCTATGAAAACGTCGCACAGTGTCCGCAGAATATATAGAAATACAGGCTAAAATGCATTATCTTGTAGAAGCTCTGGGTCCGCTTGCAGAAGTAACATTTACATGTGGATGTTTCCTGGTCAGGTGCTGCAGCATGAAGGATGTGGTGTTGTGGTAGGCTAAATCCATTTTACAGTATTTACAGTGGACTACGTTTTCCGCCTTACAACGTGAAAAATGGTCCCACACCTTTGACATTTGACAGTCTTTTTTGCACTCCACGTTGTCCGCCATGGCTTAAGAGAAAGTTAAGTTATATTCGCTACTCGCGTGTGCATTCAGTGCAGTGTGTATGTGTGTCACTTATTTCGGTCCGGGTGAAACATAACAATAACAAAAATAAATTCTTTAAAAATCCTGCCATGTGAATTCATGGATTTTTTTTTCACATTCTGTCTCTCACAGTTGAAGTGTACCTATGATGTAAATTACTGACCTCTGTCATCATTTTATGGGAGAACTTGCACAATCGGTGGCTGACTAAATACTTTTTTGCCCCACTGTGTGTGTGTATATATATATGTAAATATATATATATTTGCATTATTTGGGTGAAAACATGTACAACTGAGGAAACTTGAGAGTAAACTCAATCCAAGATGGCCTCCACAGTTAATCTAAATGAGCTTGCACAAAAATTGCTACAAGTGAACCAGTTTGGCACATATTGAGCTATAGCTCATTCTATATAATCTGATGCTGGGAGTCATTCCCAACACATAGTTTGAGTACAAACAGGTCTTGTAAATGTGCAAGATTATTTTCAAGATTTCACAAAATGGCCATAACTCCCTTCATCTCCCTTAAAAAATCCTAGGTCCAAATTTGTCCACTCAAACATATAAAGACAAGAGTACAGACACACACACACACACACACACACACACACACACACGCGCGCACACACACGCGCGCACACACACACGCGCACACACACACACACGCACACACACGCGCGCGCACACACACACACACACACACACACACACACACACACACACACACACACACACACACACACACACACACGGCAAGATATGATTCTGCTAACATAAACTTAGATACGATCGTTTTTAGGACAGAGGTCGTTTTCTCTTGATGGCCCAACGTTAACTCAAGGAAAATAAATTCCATAACCATGTATTAAACAAACCTGATTAGATAATCAGTGATTTTCAGCCTCAGCCATCTGAAACGTCGCCTCATTTCAGACGTTGATTTGTTTCAAAGCTGCAGTAAAGCACATGAAGTTTCACGTGAAAACTGAGACGTAAAACAGAAAGCACACCGGTGTCTGACACAAGATTTGTCTATTCATAAAGCTGTTTAAAAGATTATTTATATCTCTTATCAGCCACTTTATTTCCTACTATTTCTCTTTCGCCCTTTCTTGTGCCTTTTGCTTACGGAGTTTGGAAGAAAAAGACTGGCAGGCATTCAGTTGACGAGACAGCTGCCAACACTCAATCCAGTAACTGGGTCAAGTCCCTGTGACGTCCATGACAAGTCCCTGCCATGCCCCTGTCCCCCTAGGCTCCCAGTCTTACCTGTGTGTCACCTGTGCTTGCTAAGAGCTTCTGTGAGGACCTTGTTGCTCTGTGAGCTTCTCTCTGTGTTTAAATTCAGTAGTATTTTGCCCTTGGACAAGAGAGGAGGCTTGCAGCAATAATTAGGCTCTGTGGCATTCATGGGCACGCGACATAGGTCTGCCGTTTAAGAATGGAGATGACTGCTCCTTCCACATCCCTGCTGAATTATTAAGTGTGACAGGACTCGCTGCAGCGTGTCTCTACAATTCTCTTTGTACCGCTTCCCTCTTACCCGCCCGCCGCTACCACCAGCACCTCCAAAGCCCTCCTCAACATCCCACCGCCACATGTGTCCTCTGTGAAATGGAAATGCCGTCCCATTAAAAACCGTCAACCTGAAGCAGATCAGGGTGCCACTTATGCTAATGTAGACACAGGAAAATATCACACAAGGAGAGAAAAGAAAAAACACAGACAAGGAGCAAATCTAATAAAGAATTAGCATCTTCACCTGAAAAATCAAAGTATGACGTTGCAAATTGAAGATAAATGCAGTTGTAGTGTAAAATCTGAAAATGTTCACAATTGTGCAAAATGGCATCAAAAATAACCAAGGATAAAAAATGAAGATAAATATCTTTGTTTCCACATTGAGCTCCATTTATAATTAAATGCTTTAAAAAATTACATCTGGATTCAGTTTCACTAGCCCCACCCACTTGTCATGAATCACCACCAGAGCAGGAGAAATATTCCTTTTTTTAGATCAATCAAAATTTTAAAATCAGGTCTCAGCAGCCAACAGGTGCAAGACATTAAATCACAGAGACCAGGAGATTTTTTTAAAATCAGATAAATAACTATTCTGACAGTGTGATGTAGGCTAAAAGAGCTCAAAAAGCAACACGTAAATGCCACGTTCTGATGGACAAATGGACCCAAAACTAAATCTAAAGCACTGCAGGTAAAGGCTGAGGCCAGAGGTCATGATTCAGAAAAGTGCAAAAATGGCAGTTTAAGAGGTCCTTAACTCATACTCTTACATAAAGCTCCGGTGCACCTGTTTCATCACGGAGAGACCAGCCAGAGGAGTAAGCAGCTGCAGACAGCAGGATTTGGAGTCTTATTTCCTGAAATTTGTACATCTCACTTCGGATTGGCTAACAGCAAAGTAGCTCTACCACTGACTGTTTGCTTTGCCACTTTGGTGTTTTATCTCCACAAATTCAATTCTGAGGGAGTTCTGCTGTGTGGTGGGGTTGCTAATGCTAACAGTTAGCTTTTACCAGTTCAGACGTTCTCTGCTGTTTTCTGTGTCACATCCTGTCCTGTCTCCCCATTCAGTTCAGTCCTGTGTTCATGTTAATTGCTCCCACCTGCCTCTCGTCTCCCAATCACCCAAGGTCCCAGCTCCTCCTGTATTTAAACCCTCTTAGTCCATTTTATATGGTTGGTTCATTGTTTTGTCCTGCGTGCTCCCCTCATTAAAGACTGTTACTCGTTCCAGTTTGTCTGCCTGCCTGCTTCCCTCACCCGCATGTGGATCCTTGTATCTGCCTCACTCACTGGCACGTTGTGACATTCTGCGTACTAAACCAACAACAGCCTTCCCCTTGGTGAGTCAAGATGGGTGAGTCCAAGAAAGAACTTGATGCAGAGTGGTCAGGCTTTTCAAATCCTAACGTTTCATTGTCTTTATGTGTTAAACTCAAAGTGACCAATCAATAATAAGTAAAAATTGGTTTCTTAGTGAAAGAAAGGCCAAAACCACATTGACAAGACAAAAGTGTCGATCTTTTGTACATTTGGGCAAATGCTCTGTGGACCAATGATTACACATGAAACAAACATCATAGCAACAATTAACACGGTGGTAGTTGTGTGATGGCCAGGGTCTATCTTGCTCCTTCAAGACCCGGACCACTTGCTACCATGAATTTAGCTATCTTTTCAATAGAGAATGTCCGACCTTTGACCTTAAACAGACTGTTAATGTGAGAAACCTTCCAATATGTCTGAAATAAAACAAGTCAACAAAATACACTGAACAAAAATTCCTCCACAACAATGAAAGTCTCAGGAAGTGGAGCTTTTTTCTCCTAAAAAGGGACAGAGCTGTTTCAGGGGTGGAGCTGGCCATGTCCACCCAACCCCCGCTCATGCTGCTATAAGCTGAGAAGCTCTGAAATATGGGAGTGGTTCCTCTACAGCTGCTGTTCCTCCAGCAGTTGTTCCTCTTGCACATGAGAGGTGGTTCTATTCCACTTTCCTCATTTGTGACATCATAAACAGGGACTTTTTGAAACGGCTTGTTTTAGACACATAATTCCTAAAAGTAAACACTAACCGAAAATGGATGGATGGATTTCTTTCACACTTTGAGCGTTTATAGATGCAGCAGAAACTCGCATAGCAACACAAAAGGATACAAAAGGTGAGTTTTTTTAAAGAGCAAGTAACGTCTAAATTAACTTTTTTTTGCTGATGAACTGTATAAATGAGTGTCTAATTGTGTTTTAAATGTGTGCATTCTTTATTTTAGCATTTTGGTTCATTTTCTTTAAAAATTAAAAATTCTGTCTAAAAACCACAGTAATGCGCCACCTTCAGCTGAAAACATAGAATTTGAGTCATTTTGAATAAATTTTAGCCAATGGCTAAAGAGTAAAGTACTACGTAAACCAGTAGAGTACTACGTAGCAGCTCTGTGCCAAAGTTATAAAAGCAACGGGCGTCTCGGCCACGCCCTGTGGCGCGTGGGAGTTGGATTTGCAAGCGAGCTTAGGAGGGCAGCGGTAGTTCAGCATTAGCATATAGCATTAGCATATCCTAGTCTTTAGCATATCTTTTAGTGTTATAAATACTTATTTAGTGTTAGCTTGGCTGTTGGATATTGTAGTTTAGTTAGTGTTTGGCTGTTAGCGTAATTGGGAAAGTATTTCGGTTTTAGTGTTCATATCGTCTTAGTATTGGTGAGATGGTGTAATGTAGTATGCTTGCGGTGACTCTGTGGGCATTTTACCCGCGATTCTGCACGTCTCCGTTTGAAGAGGGAGGCTGCCCACCGTGGCTCTTCCGCGATTTAGATGCAGCCCACCGACTCTGCTCCCCCACCACGGCGGGCTCCAGTCTGAGGTGAGTAAGCTAAATAAACGTTTTAACATCTTCTAAAGACAATTCCCTACCTAAATGCAAAGTCTGAGAGACGTGGTTCACTTCCTTTAGCTAGTCAGTTGGCAATTCTGCAACAGTGGCTCTTAACTGACGCAGCAGTTGACAGACAGCATTACAGCGTGAAATCCAGCTGGTGACCCGGTTCTGTGAGGAATTCTGTTCAGGAGGTCACATTTCAGGCTCTCCACATCATGTGTGACTGACTTTTACGTTATAACAACGATCACACACTAGGAATGTTATAAAGCGCCTATATAGGAGATTCTTTTGTATATTATCTGACTTTATAAACTCCAACAACAATGTGCTTCTATTTTTTTTCAGGCTAAATCTACCCAAGACACTGGTTGTCAGACTGATTTAGCTGCAAGAATGCACTTGTCCAGGCTGATGTGAAACCTTCCCTGTAGCAAAGGTGAATTATTTTTAATAATCTTCTATGTAAACATTTTATTATCACCTTCTAGTTTTAATTTGTTTTACAGATTATTGTTATACGTGATTTTATGCTCTTTTAAACATTTATAAATGTGCTGCTTCTTTGTTTTTACATAGCCAGTCAGAATGGAGTTCACAGCCGCAGTGTGTCTGGTGACCCACGGTGACCATGATGAAAATTCATCTTCCAGAAAGTCCCAGAGCGTCCAGACCCCCTGAAAAGACCAAGATGTAAGGTGTCTGCTGTTGATTCCAGCTTCCACCTCAGTGACAGTGCAAGCTCAGTGAACTGTTCAAGGTAATAAATAAAAATTAAAACATTTCAGATTTTTTAAGATATTAACAATTAAATAAGTATGTGATTACATCATGACGGGGGCTACTGATTTTGCCCCTGTGACACTTGGTGGTGACGTGTGAGCTGATTCACCTGGAAAACAACTTTTACATTAAATATTTTGTTTTTGCTATCAAAAGTAAATTAACTAATAACCTGCATTATTGCAGGCCACTCAGCAAAATATGGACTCTACACCATGAGGCATGCACACATTAATATTCTATAAGAGCACATAAGGTGAGCAACACCACATATTATTGTACACTGTCCTGAATTTGTTTTCTTTCTGCATCTCATTAGCCTGGCTGATCACCTGATAACTCCTGTCATCTGGTTATGACAGCATGAGGATGTCCTCACACACCTGTAACCTATCAGCTCATCTGGCAGAATAGAGAGAAGAGACAACACCACATCTCCTGTTCCTGGAAAGCCTTCAGCCATCCTTTGATGACTGAGAACCTCCATCAGCTCTGTCTCCTGTCTGCCTACAATTATTATAATAAATATTGTGTTTGACAAGTTTTTTGTGCTGCCAAATATCTCATTTAGATTCCAGTTTTGATATTTTAATGGATATTTATAAATTACATTGATTATCACATTTTTGTTGCATGTTTAACTAGCTATTGTGATTAATTAAACTAGCACCTCGCTGTTAAAAGCTCGTTTTAATTTCAAGCATGTTTAAGTATTTATGGACATGAACAAAAACAGGAAATATATAAATTGAGATTTATTTAATTAATATAACAAATAAGGGGGAAAGAGTCATTGAAAGGCACATTCTTCTGGAAGCTCCTGATCCTGATGGCACCAGCAGAGGAGACCACCTGCAGACACCAGAGGACCTAGAACCGAGAGAGCAGCTGTTATTAGTAAATAAATAAAGAAATCAGGGCAGTTTTAGTGGGCTGAACACATTACAGAATAATTTTCTCATGGGGTATTTTCATAACTTTATATGCAGCAGACTGTAACTTGAGCCCAGAGCTACCGGAGAGCTGCTATCCAGCATGTTTCAGTGGATTTTCCTGCTTTAACAGGTTAGATTAGCTGTTAAGCAGCTCAGCTATTTGTTGCTGATTAAAACCAGGTGTGCTGAAGCAGATAAACCTCTAAAACATGCTGAATACTAGCTTTTTAGGGCTGTGGAGACAAACCCTGCAGCTAATCCAATGCTATGGCTAACGGCTACTTACCTTTCAGAGGTGATTCTGTTGGGTCGGTTCTGGGAGTTTCAGGCAACTCACAAGCTCAAAACAATAAGACTCAGGTCCGCTTGTCTCCTCCAAATAGACTTGGTCCCTTTCTTCTCGAGTGTCTGTGTAAAGAGGGGGAGAAACGTCCTCCACTTCTAATGACCGCTCAGAGTGAAGGGAGCTAGCTTCGTCTAGTTAGCCATCGTCTTCGTCACTGCCGCGGCTCCGCCCACTCGGTCCTCCAGGCAACGCCTACTAATGTTGCATTTTTTAAAATTGATACGTGGGTGGAGAAGGACTCCGAGGCTCAATTGACCCGCTCTTTAAATAATAAATCCCCTTTAATAAATGATGTTATCATTTGAAAATATGATTTAATATTTACTCATTTTATATTTGTCTCATGATCGGAAATCTGAAACAAAAAAAAAAAACATTAAAGTGGGCAAATACTTTCTATAGCACTGAAAATATGCATATAATGTGAAAAACAGCTTTATTTACAGCCTTTTTTCTATTTATTCAAATTGTTTAATCTGATCTTTTCAATCAGTTTTTAAATTGATGTCTAAATAAACACTTTAAGTACAAAGTTAAAAATTTTGACTGTCGTTGGTGGGGAAATAGGCCGTACAGCAACCTCACAATTAAAATTGAACAAGGCTTTACTGTTGCCAGTGATGCATGAAAAATCACACCAGAAAAACAAAAGGTCTTCTTACTAATCTATCTGGTGGCTCCAGATCAGCCCCTCTGTCACAGCGAAGAGTGACAGTAATGATAAACCGTAATCAAATCTGCTCCCATGAGGGTACGGCTAATTCCTCACTGCACATAATGGGGAGAGGGGCGGAAAATTAAGTGCCCCTTTGGTCCATGCAGCTGAATACTGAGCATGTAGCAAATTAAAAAGAGACGCCTACTGTCTGGAAAACTGCGCCCAAACAATACTTTTACACACAAACTTTTGAATCTATGACCCTGATTTTCTTTATATTCAGCAGGCGTATCTTATTGGCTCAGATTGCATTATCAGAGGGGTTTCTTTCTGGTTTCCAGAACAATTTGCAGTCAGGAAAAGTGAAACAATGCAACAGCTGACTCAAACTCGTGGTCCTAAATGTCAATCATCAATTCTCCCCTGTATATTTAAGGGAAATCTTTTTTTTCCCTGAATATTTTGCAAACATCTGTTCACCTTCTTTCCAAATTCAGGACTGTTACGGATCCTAGGCTCCGGCGCCTTGTGTGGCCTCGTGTTTTTCCCTCCAGGCTATTCAGGACCTTGGACAGGTCCTCCGTCAGGCTGGCCTCCGCCTCGGCCCGCCTTCTCTACAACAGCTGCAGACAATCCCGTGATTATGAAGGCCGCTAGTTAAAAGGACTCTTGTTTCAGTTTTCAGTGAGAGAATCACAGACTAAACCTCTGTCTTTCTCTCCTCGGTTAGCTTGGTTTGATACTCGGATTGACTCGATATAGAATTCGGATATTAGTAATTAGTAACCTTTGTTCATTTAAAGATCCCGTTTGTTTCTGCCCCAGTGAGGCCTTTTCGTTTTTGTTTTCAGCTTTATAGCTCGCTTTTTGTTTAGATCTTTTTACACATTGATAGCCGTCGAGATTTGGTTTTTAGTTAGTTCCGGCACTTTGTTTTTCTTTTTAGAATCTATATTTAGTCTCGTGTTTTCTTCCCTGGAACCGTTTGTCCCAGGTGTTTTGAGTTGCCCCCGTAGTGCGTTTGTCTTTTAGTTAGATTAGTAGTGTGGTTTGTTTGAGTTTTTCCAGTCTAGGACTGTGTATTTTGGTTGCCCCCCCTGTTAAAATAAACATCTTTTATTATACTCACCCCTCCTTCTCCGCATCAGTTCTTATGTTACCCCTTTCCACAACGCTTAACACACAGGGTTTGTAACAAGGACATATCAATTAAAAGTGCTCTTCATCATAAGAGTTACCATGACAACAGGTTGCCAAGATGTCACGTATGATCTCTTGCTCCTAAAGGGCATTTTATCGTGAATAAGCAAGTGAAGGCAATCTTTTTTTTTTATTCTGTAAACACAATGATGAAGAAAATGATGATGAGCTTAATGAGAAGGCTGGTAAAGGGAAAGAAATTCAAGAAATGGCTCTGTGTTCCCAGATGTATGATTCTGCTGGAGATAATTAGACTTCGACTGTGGCTAGACAGAAAAATATATTTCTTCAGATCGGGTTGTTAAGTACTCGCTGTGCACTTGTTTGGTATAATTTAACCAAATAAACAACTCATTATGAAATTTTTTCTGTTATTCCCTTTGAACATTATAAACCACATAACCAACCAGACTCTATTAAACACACCAGTCCATTATAGAAAACCCTACCATAGAAACTGGCGCTCACTTCGCTCAGAGCCTAACTGGTTACATTATTCACTTTGTGATAATGCAAATGTCTTTAGATGCATAAGATATTTAATATGCCCATGTTTTAAAGTGATAGGTCATATATATATATATATATATATATATATATATATATATATATATATATAAATTCCCATCTCACCCTCCGTGGATGGTCTTATCTTTCCAAGCTCGGGTCTTCTACCAGGGGCCTCGGACCTTATGGGTTTTGGGGTCTCATTTATCAGACACTGCGTAGAATCCTTACTAAAACCCTACTTAAGCTCCGGAAAAAAATGTACTTACGTCAAGCAGGTTTGTGATCTATCAAACATGGAGTACGCACAGCTGCACGCAATCTCCGCTTCATAAATCGGAGACTAACGAGAATGTTTCTCAGCTGCATTTTAGTCACATCCCGCCCTCACCACGCCCATTTACTGCCATAAATAGTCAGTGCAAAGTGCCTTGTGGATCTCATGCATATACATAAGCCGGTGTTCTGACAAAACGTCCTACTTTGGCAAAACGTCCTACCCGTAGGATAATTTTACAGTGTTTTACATGACACAAACCCTTACCCTACCCCTAACCCTAACCCAAAGAATCAAGTATCAACGTTAATAAAAAGTACTAATACTTACTACTTACCTATTTTCCTGCAAATATGACAATGCACTTTGCTTCCCTTTTGTGTTGTGCACATGCGCGCACATGCTCAGGAACAACGGGTAGGACGGTTTCCGAGGTAGGAGAAATTCCCAGAACACCAGCTGTTACAGCGCTCCGCCAATGACGATGGCGACCGAAGATCAAGGCAGATCAAGGAAGTGTTATTTCAGAAGCAGAAGTTGAGGTACTTGTGGGTGAAGTGGATAAATGAAAGGAAGTGCTTTTGCAAAACAAATAAGAGAAAATCCACGGAGTGGCACAGCGTTGCTGAAGCCGTCAATGTTGTGAATTCTTCAGAGAGACCTGTGGCGGATATAAAAAATGGTCCAATCGGATTTTGATCCCCAGACTCCCAGGTGAAAGTCACTCACGCTAACCAGTCACCAAAATGGAGATCTCCCTTGACCAAGTACCCAGAGTGCATCATTAATCGGGTCACAGAGACAGGAAACCCACTGGCACAGACGCATGACATTGTCTCTCAATCTGTCCCCCAGCTGATATTCTGCATTCCGTATTCTGCACTTCAGGCTGTGTGTGTGTGTGCGTGCATGGGTGTGTGTGTGTGCGCGCACGCATGTGTGTGCGTGTGGGGGGTCTTGTTCTGTGTGAAAACGAAGCAGTACAGGTGATAATGCTGCAAGATTTCATAATTTTATCCTTCTCAGCAACAGCACTGCAGGTGCTCTCCTTGTCCAAATTGTGCGTAAGCAAGGTCCTTAGTCAACTTAAAGTTGCACACATTTTTCCACTAAGTTTTCTTTCATAAATCCCAAAGTTTGCGCAGAAAGTTACTTACGCAGTTTTCCAGCCCCGTTTTGTGCGTAAGCAAGCTTGATAAATGAGGCCCCTGCACAGTATCTTAGCTGAACTGCATCTAGAATCAATGACCATTGGCACCACCAATGTCTTCACTCTCCAGGCTTTCTTGACTTCTTCTTTGAGGCCCTGGTGCTTCTCGAGTTTCTCGTGTTCCTTTTACCTGATGTTGCCATTACTTGGTATTGCCATATCAACCACAAAGGCACCACACTGTCCAATTGGTTTGCCATCATCCTTTTTTTTTTTTTGGAGTTTGGCTCTCTCATTCTCAACCACTTTATGGGGTGTTTACCCACTTTGATCTTGGGGTTTCCAGTCTATACTATGCACAGATGTTCCTGTACACGATGCCAGCTACTTAGTTGTGGCGTTCCATGTTTGCTTTCCCTGCCAGCATCTTACTCTATGCATTTTTGTGGTGGATAGTCTCAGGGGCTTCTTTG